CTCCCTTCTCTCCTGCTCTCTGTGTGTTTCAGGAAGCCCTCCTCAGGATTCCAAGGCTGCTATAGTGTGAGCTCCAAACCACTGGTCTTCTTAGAACACTGAAGGCACTTCCAAAAAAATTTATGGGAAAGCCTGTCTCTTGATAAATAAGGACTGAGAAACTGGCAACCCCCATCTTAAAACAAAGAGATTACTAGATTTTTAAAGCAATCTCAACTGCTCCTCTTTTCAATTATATTAATATGTTCTCAGATCTCACTTTAACTCATTTTCCTCTAATTTACCTTTTCATCTTCCCATGTCATTTCTAATTCTTTATTTCACCATGTTGAGTTCTTCAATGGTTTTGCCTTTAAAACGAGCCATATTTACCACTAGGCTTCATGGTGCACACCTGTAATCCCAGCTACTCTGGAGGCTGAGGCAAGAGAATTACAAGTTCAAGGCCCACCTAGGCAACTTAGTAAGATACTGTCTCTAATTAAAAAAAAAAAAACAGGGCTGGGGATGTGGCTCAAGCGGTAGCGCGCTCGCCTAGCATGCGTGTGGCCAGGGTTCGATCCTCAGCACCACATACCAACAAAGATGTTGTGTCCGCCGAGAACTAAGAAAAAAATAAAATAAAACGTTAAAAATGCTCTCTCTCTCTCTCTCTCTCTCTCTGTCCCTCTCTCTCTCTCTTTGGAGAAAAAGGAAAAAATAAATAAATAAATAAATAAATAAATAAAACAAAACAGCGCAGGGATGTAGATCCATGGTAGAGAACCCCTGGAAGAATACCCATTACTGAAACACACACACACATTTAGAATTAGAGATAGAAATTTGGGGAGATAGAAGGAAAAATATATGATGAGACTCACAAGAGAAGAGCCATGAACCACTGGAAGTGGTGAACGTCCAGGGAACATCAGAAGGTAGGGATCATAAGCCACTGGAGGTAGTGAACGTCCAGGGGACATCAGAGCCACTGGAGGTGGTGAACGTCCAGGGGACATCAGAAGGTAGGGATCATGAGCCACTGGAGGTAGTGAAGTCCAGGGGACATCAGAAGATAGGGACTATGAGCCACTGGAGGTGGTGAACTTCCAGGGAACATCAGAAGATAAGGACCATGAGCCACTGGAGGTGGTGAACGTCCAGGGGACATCAGAAGGTAGGGA